CCACCCTCAATGAGCAGGCAACATGAGTTAAAACTGTGTTCAACTTACAAATGTAGCTTTAAATTCCCTAGTGTTGTACCCCCACCCCAACCATCCCTATCCTAGTCTTTCAAAGTGCCCCACCCTAAGTCCCTTCCTACAGAATTCTGGAGCCCCCATTCTTGGCGAGAGCAGCTTTCCTTCCTCTGGTGCCTGCTGTGCCACCAGCAGCAAAAGGCAGGCTGGTCACTCAGGGTCCTGAGCTTGAAAGGAGGATTGATGGGTCAGAAGCTGTTCCCGGCCATCCACTGCCGGCTGACAGTGAGGAGTTCTATCCTTCAGGCCATGCCATGGCAGGTACTACTCAAATGAGTTATGTGCTCACTACTCAAATTTACATGGTCCGACCAATGGCCCAGGCTCTCCCAGCAGGTGATGATACGTTCCTTTCCTAAGACGGTAAGGGAACTGCTTAAAGTAGTCATCGCCTCTTTCACAAGGCTACTGACTTCGAGCAAAGGCCTTGCCTGAATGCAGTGATACTGTCAGGACAATCTGTGTCCTGCCTTTCATAATTCCACGTTGGACAAGATCCCTGGGTCAAGTATATCAGAAATGCCCCGTAGAGCTGCAGCTGAACGTACCAGCTGACACGAGGACGGCAGGCTTTGCTTTGCCCTGGGCCCCGTGGAGCAGCCCCAGGGGCACGAGTCCTCCAGCAGCAGGACCTCCCCACAGCTTTCATGACATTGAAGAGGAAGCTGCCTTTTCTGCCATTTCCTGCATAAGCAAGGAGTTCTGCAACTGGGCATTAAACGCTTTGCTGATGAAGCTGTTTCTGATGAATGAGGCAGAGCCCCAGCTGAGCCAATTTGAAAACATTAAGAAGGCAGGCAGGACCTCAAGCCTGCAGGAGGCAGACAGACTGAGCACAGCCAATGGTGTGAACTAGATCCATGCAGGGAAGCATTTGAAGGAGAGAGCTTAAATTCCTGTGTCCTTTGAAGATGAAGAAATGTTATATTTACAAGCATTTTCTAAGACAATAAATAATGAAGAACCATGTCTTGTAATAAAAATAGCAGCAGGAAAAAGGGAACTTAAGCCTTAGCCAGAATTATTTTTAACAAGCAAAATATATTTACACATTATCTGTATAATTCAACATCTTTAAAGGCAGAACATGTGGTCATGGAGGTACAATCCAGTCATGCATAATGTGGATTTGCCCCCTTGAGATGTATTCAATAATATTTATATTAACATGTTAAGCACCCAGCCTATTTTGTCTTCTAGATGGAAAGTATAGTGTCAGTCACCAGTGGCTGACTGGGTGCTTAACGTGTTAAGAGCTCTATCCTATATAATAAAAGCCTAATATGCTAAGTGTCCAGTCATCTGTTCAACCAATCAAAGCAATATGCTAATGATATGCTAAGGCTGCTCAACCATTTGCTATGATGTGCACTGACCACCAGGGGCAGAGAGTTGACTGGTCAACCAGTCACTATGCTATGCACTGACCACCAGGAGGCAGATACTCCAACTGGCAGGTTAGTTTACTGCTGAGGTCCAGCAGATTGGGACTGAGCTAGATGGGCCGGACACATCCTGGAACCCTCCCACAGTCCCTCCCCAGCTGGCCAATCTTCTGCATCCGTCCCCAGCTCCGATCATGCACCAGTGGAGTCCCTTGGCCTGGCCTGCACCCTCTCACAATCCAGGACCCCTTGGGGAATGTCAGAGAGCCAGTTTTGGCCCAATCCCACAGGCCAGGCCAAGGGATCCCCACTGGTGCATGAATTTGTGCACCAGTCCTCTAGTATTACAATAATAACTATATATGAGGAAAGGATCTAAATGAAGTCAGAAAGGAAGGTGGTACATTCCAAGTTCATGTGTGCATGTGGTATTTGCTTTGAAAGTAGTCCCATATAAACTAATGAAGCTACCAATATCTCCAACATAATTTTCTATTCATTTCTCAATTCAAAATCAAAGACAATCACCACCACCACCACCACATCACTCTTTGTTTTGTTTTGTTTTAACTCTGAAAATACAATTGTGGCAAGTTAATTAAGAACATGATTATGGTACATTCATGCCCATCTTTAGCCATGCTCTTAGCAAGACCAATAAATACAGAAAGGTCAATTCACACCCTCAGGTCCATTTTACTAATCAAATGGGAAACAGACTTTGGAAACTTTAATAAATACCATACTTTCATTTGCAATGTTTTTATTTTGTTTGTTTTTATTCAAATACCCTTTTGTAATTTTTAAGAACCACTATGGATGGGTTTGTTTTGTTTTAACACAGCCTAAAAGCAAAATTGTTTTTAGAGTAAAACTGGTTAAATGGAATCAGAACTAGGAAAATGTGAATGAGAATGGGTCCAGTGGGGAAAGGATAAGGATTAAAAAGTAGAATATAACCTTAGGGAAATGTGGAAGAAAATGTCTATACAAAAAAAATCAGAAAAATGACTAAGCTTTGTTCTAGAGAACTGTGAGATAAATGATGGCCTTCACTCGCATTAGCCCTGACATTTGATATCCAAAGTGTTGATGGCTAATGGTTACTAGTCATATAAAAATCTAGAACAACACTATGCAATTGAACTTTCTGCTACGATGAAAATGTTCTGTTCTTTCTTGTCCAATCTGGTAGTCATGAGCCACATGTGGCTACTGAGCTCTTGGAATGTGATTAGTACAACCAAAAGAATGCATATTTTTTTTTGTTACCTAATTTTAATTAATTTCATTGTAAATAACCACATGAAGCCAGTGGCTACTGGATCAGATGGCACAGGTATAGAATATAAGACTGTGATTCATTTCAAAGGCTTATTTTTGAAGCTTCACCAAACCATTCATTTATATTTAATAGATTTTGCATACATGAATTAAGTAAAATTTCATACAAAACACAGCTCTTGCTGCCTGCTCCATGTCATGCTTTTCACTTTTATAATCAGTTAAACATCTCCCTGCTGGGTCAGAAGCTACCATGAGCACAAACGGTACTGGGCCTCTCATTCACCTCTCTGGGCCTATCTCATTCACCAGGCACACTGTGCATGCTTAATAAACAGTTGTTCACTACTGGTTAAACATCAGAGAAGTCAGAAAGGAAGTATCTTTCTTGGAAGGATTAGGCATAGAGGATGATCGGGAATACCTGGATCTCATTTTAAAAACTATTTGTGTACTAGTGTACTCTAGGTAACTAATCTAATCTTTCTCCACTTTAACTTTGTTCTGCCCATTATTCACACAAAAGTAAGCAATATTTCTCACTAGAGGTTTACATATTCAATATTACATTTTTATTTTAAAAAATGATTATTTCATGATTTTCTTAAATCACTTCTAAACCAGTATGTATTCTTTTTATTCTTTCCTAAAAAACACTTAAAGCTTGCTTGTACCACTTTGCTGATATTTCATAAGCTGAACATGGAATCAGTTTTATCAGTTTGTTGAAAAGATTCTCATATTGAACAGGACTTCCAGAGGTAAACTGATTAGAAGTGGTCTACAACATCTTTCTGACTGCTATTCTTACAAAGCAAAAAATTATATGTAAGAGTATATGTATTTGTAAATAAAACATGTATATATACACACTCACACATCCACTCATATATACATATATAGCTACACACATGCATGCACTATTCAGCTTCCAATGAGCAAGTCCTTTATCATATACTAGAGGCCTGATGCATGAAAATCCATGCACTGGAAGGGGGATCCCTCATCCTGGCCTGCCCCCTCTCACAGTCTGGGAGTCCTCAAGGGCAGGAAGCAACCTGGCAATCAGGGGAAAGCAATGCCCCCATCACACTTCTGCTGCTGCCACTGCTGGCAGTGTAATCCTCTGCTGGCCCTGGTTACCTAAGCCTTGGGTGGCTGGGAAGCTGCCATCCAAGACTTGCCTGCACTTTGCGCTAGCTCTGGGTGGCTGGAGTTCTGAGGGGACTAGGGGACTCTGGAGACAGTCACAAGGAGTGGCAAGACCCACCTGGAAGCAGGCCTGGCAGTGCTGCATGCCTGCAGCCCCAGCAGGGCTGAGGGGACTGAATGCCTCCATCTTTGTGAGGGAATGATGTTCAATTAGCACATTCCCTCTTTATTAGATAGGATTCTATTATCTACCTAGCTCTTCTCTTAGAGCCCTATAATTGTGATGGTCAGAAGAACTGCATTAGATTTCTAGCTTTTCTACTTTTTTAGATATGTATGCACATTTGGGCAAATTACTTAAACCCTCTGGGCCTAAGTTTTATCAGTTTGTTGAAAAGATTAGATAGTATACTGGCTATGAAAGCACCAGAAGAGTCCCTAATGAATAGCAGGTGTGCCGTGTTTGCTGAATGAATAACTTATTTCATAGGTTTCTTGGGATCTCTTTGAAATGCTTACCAACTCCCTACAAATGGATGAGTTGATTATCTTCTCACAGTGAACAGGCTCTGGAGATTAAAGGCAGATTTAAGGGCAAGTTTTTTATCAGGAACTGAAGAAACAAAGGAAAGGGATCTATTACAGTCTTAAGAAAATGGTGGGGGAACTCACAGAAAAAAAGAAGAAGGTCTGATACCTGATAAAGATTAAATGAAAGGCCTTTCTCTGTTCTTTAAAAATGGTTCAACTCGGGCTACCTTCTAGTTTATTGTCTGTAACTGTGGCTAACCTGCTGCCTATTTATCTTCAAAGAATGAAAGATCACAAGACCACTCACTATTCAGCCTCCGAACCTCACATTTGGTAAATTTGATTTCTACACCTTTGCCTACCTGTTATAGAGCTTCTTAAACTCTCAGAGAGCATTTACAAATAGAATTGAGGTAAACAGCAGCTTTAACGGTTTATACAAAGAATCCAAAGGTGTGTAGCAATAAAATACTTCTTTAAAAAGTTCACCCTGTCATTTGTTTCTAGACTCTCTGTTAGGGAAGTACATAGAGTCAAGAGGAAAGAGGGGAAGATCATGACACTCATCCATACCTCAGCTTCCTGCAGGATCCCGTGGTTTAGGCACACCATGTCAGGGCAAGTGATGGGAGACCCACATCCGTCTCGGATTGCCAGCTGCATGTACTGTTTCAGGCACTGGAAGTTAAGAAGAAAAAAAAGACAGACAATTACCTGCCACATTACAGTAGCACAAAGGTTACAAAACCACCACTGCCTCTCTTCTTCCTTACTTGGCAGTCCTGGGGCTCTTGTACTCAGAAAACATAAGTTATCACAAGTGTGAATGCTAAGAGCCATCACTTTGGAAAGAATGCAGAGACAGGCAATTTGGTATGACTTCATCCTAAGAAAATTGAGTTTATTCAAGGCAGCAAATTCCTGTAGGTTTACATTTTACCCACCATAGATAGGCAAAAGATTTCTTTTTTTCTTCCTTCCTTCCTTCCTTTCTTTCTTTCTTTCTTTCTTTCTTTCTTTCTTTCTTTCTTTCTTTCTCCCTTTTTTAACTTATTTGACTTCCCAGTTTAATTTTTACCTAGTGGTCCTCTCCCTCAAAGTTTGCCCAGAAATAGAACTGTGACCCTTGTGCTGAGCTAGCCAAACAGAAACAAAATGAAATTAAGACAATGATTTATTCAGAACACCCTTAACAGCAAATACACCTGGAAAAGATCATGAAAAAGATAATATGGGAGCCAACTATGGGCCATGGTGAATACTATGGTGAGGAGGTTTGAGTATAACCTGGTTAAGGAAGAATTTAATAGGAAAACATAAACCCAGAGGAGAGGAAAGGGGAGGGGAGGGAGAGAAGAGAAGGGAAGAGAAAGAGTATCAAGGACAACTTGATCTATTCATTGGCTGTTACACCTGGATCTTGGGCAGTGGATGGAGATGTGAGTCAGACTAAGAAAGTAGAAGAGGGACTGATATAGCATTGTGGAAATCTCAATAACTCCTCCCTGCTCCTCTCAACCCACCCTACATGCCCACAGGAAATTGAAGGCCATGGTTTCAGAAGCTAATGCTCTTAATAAATCTGTAAGCTGGCTTCTCAGTTTCTAGTAATTTGCTCATAATTGGTCAGCTCTTTAAGCATGATGGGAAAAGAAACCAACAAAATACATAAGCTATTCAACGAATTAAGACTCTTACAAAGTGATCATCTATATTTATAAAAGCCTAAGTGGCCAGATGACCAAGCAACCAGAGGACCAGATGACCGGTCGACCAGTTGACCTGCTGGTAGCTATGACACGCACTGGCCACCAGTGGGCAGACACTTGATGCAGGAGCTGCTCCTGGTAGTCAGTGCACTCCCACAGTGGGAGCGCCGCTCAGCTAACAGACACTGGGCTCATGGCTGGTGAGCACAGCTGCAGTGGTGCCAGTCTCTCCTGCAGATTCTCCCCTTGTGCACCAGAGCAGCAGCAGGCACAGCAGGGCCTGGATGAGCAGAATCAGAGCAGCACCCAGCCTGACCTCAGGCTCCTCCCCGGCCAGCTGCATGACACTTCATGCACTACTTTGTGCTGTGTGGGATCGATGCAGACAGTAGGGTGGAGCCCACGAGCTGGTGGGGAAGGCCGGGCTGCGGAGGTGTGGAGGTGCACTGATCCCTACAGGCCAGGTCGAGGGACCCAACTGGTGCACAAATCCATGCACTGGGCCTCTAGTTATTTAAAACTGAACTTGAATCTTTCAAAATTACACATTTATGTATTAACCTGTTACATTAAAAATATTGTTGTTGCACCAACCTTTTGAAAAGCTTAATTATTAAATAACTTTTATGGTTAGAATACTGATGACATAATTATGAAACCTAATCCTTTCATTGACCATCTTTATTCATTTTATCAATCTGAAATTGAAACTCACATCACAATTACATTTCAGAAAAATAATCATGTATTTATCTGACTGAAATTACTGTTAAATGTACTAATGAATCAATGACTAGGGAAAACCATTTAAACCAGAAGTTTAAAACCATTTAAACTTCTCTCATCACAGAAAAAAAAAAAAAAATAAATAAATAAATAAATGAAACACCTCACTTAAGCCAAAGCCGGTTTGGCTCAGTGGTAGAGCGTCGGTCTGCGGACTGAAAGGTCCCAGGTTCGATTCTGGTCAAGGGCATGTACGTTGGTTGCGGGCACATCCCCGGTAGGGGGTGTGCAAGAGGCAGCTGGTCGATGTTTCTCTCTCATCAATGTTTCTAGCTATCTCTCTCCCTTTCTCTCTGTAAAAAAACCAATAAAATATATTTAAAAAAAAAAAAAAACACCTCACTGGAAAATAACCTAAATATCTAAGAACACATAAGTAAATTATGCTAAATTCATACAAGGAAAGCTGGAGAATCACAAAAATATTTTCAAATTGATCTCCACTTATATTACAAATTTGTGAAGTTGAATCTAAGCTTTCCCAAGAGTTTACAATGAATGTTCTATTTGCTAATATAATGTTCTTAGGTGCACTGTAACCACAATATATAAAACCAATGAATTTTTAAGGTTCCCACAAGTACTCTCCTGGCCACAATATTACATGACCCATGATTTTAAGAGAGAGGTTAGAGCTGTATACAACCAATGACAGGGTGTAATTATATGAATTCCATTTACCCTGTTGTTAAATGCTAAGAAACAGTGGTTCGAGAAAGAGATTTGTTAAGTGCCGGTTGCTAAGTAATGCTCTAGCGCAGGCACTTGACACTCCATCACTAGGGGCCTGTATTTCTATTCTAAGGCAAAGAGGGAGAACAACCAACTCTAGTTATTGCTTCTTATTAAATTTTCAAGTACCTTAGGTTCATGATGTATCTTCTATTAGCTTGCACTAAAAATTTAATCTTAAACTCTCCCTCTCTTCTTCAAAACCTATGATTAAAGCACACAAAAACTGAAAACATACCCATGAACCCCTGTGCATGTTACACAAACCAAACAATTCCAGAAGAAACTGGCATCTAGCGTGTAAATAAACACAGAGGAACACAAAAAGAGAAAAAGAAGATCATTATTTAGTCACATTGAAAAAAATTATATTCCAATAAACAATAGCATTAAACAAATGTCTAAATATGTAATTTTCATAACAGCTAACAAATTCTACAAGAAGTGTTTCAAATAGAACATCTCAAATATCCTGATAACCAAAGAAAGAAAGAAAAACTTCATCTTTTAGATTGTCAACATTTCACTTAATTAGTTTGATAGAACATAACATTTTAGACCATGAGGTGCCATGTATAATAAAGATTATTCCTCAAAATCATTTCACAACTCAAGGATTCAAAGGAGATCTAACCAAGAATTTAACATCAAACACCTGGTGAGCCAGATGACTTGTATTATCTCTTCCAGCCCTAAGAGCCTATGAATTATATACAGTGGGACCTTCCCAAAAAGAGGTTTCTCCTAGACCCCTTTCAGGGGCATATTTTCCAATATACCAAAAAGCATTCTTAAAAAAAAAAAAAAATATATATATATATATATATATATATTTGTTTTTATTGATTTGAGAGAGAGAAAAAGGGAGAGGGAGACAGAGAAAAACATCGATGTGAGAGAGAAATCTCAATTGACTGCCTTCCAAACGCACCCCAAAGGAAGATTGAACCTACAACCTAGGTATGTGTCCTGACTGGGAATCAAACCAGCAACTTTCCAGTACATAAGACAATGCTCCATCAACTGAGCCACACCAGTTAGAGCCCAAAGAGCTTTCTTCATAGGTGTACTCATCTATTAGCTGGACAAGGGAAAAAGGGCTACAACATTTAGACAAAGAGATCCACCAAGGTAATATACATAGATACATATACATTTACTCTAAAGTTGCTCATTCTCTGTCACTAGATTTTATACCTTTCTTTAAAATTTTCTCTAAGAAAAAAAACACATTACAATGAATAGTGAAGGGAACTGGATTCTAACAATTAAGATTGAAGTACAAACTCTGAAGTTTTGAGCAAGTCATTAACATCTTGAGCAAGTCATTAACATCTCTAGCTATAACATTTTTAATTATAAAATGGAACAATACCACTTGCCAGGACTACTCTTACAGAAATACAGAGTCCTTCATGAAGGTACATACGTGAAAACACCATGAAAAGTAAAAAGAGGTATGCAAACATCCTACATAATAAAAGGGTAGTATGCAAATTGTCCCCTTGACCAGAGTTCTTCCAGGAATTCGATCAGAGAGTGGGCCAGCTAGGGGAAGGAAGAGAGGCCCGAGCCAGCAGCCGCTAGGAACCCTACCAGTGCACAAATTTCATGCACTGGGTCTCTAGTTAAGTATAATTGGAGAATAGAACAGATGTTTCTGAATTACAGGTAAGCATCCTATATAATAAAGAGGTGATATGCAAATTGACCCTCATACCCTCACATCACAAGAGTACCACCCCCATGTTGTCACAAGATGGCAGGTAGGGGAGGGCCTCTTTTTAATTTAAATTTTGTTGGTCTGTAATTTTGAGGGTCCCAGATTGGAGAGGATGCAGGCTGGGCTAAGGGACACCCTCTCCCCTTGCAGGGCACAAATTTTGTGTACCAGGCATCTAGTGCAGAAATAAATAAAAGTCCCCAAATGATGCAACATCCAGAAGTTAGTTTCATGATGGTGGGGTGGGGAGGTGAAAGGAGAATATGAATTGGTGGAAGGAAAGAGGTAATGTATACTATTAGCTGAAAGTTTAAATTGATCTTGGATCCTTCTAGATGCAGATGCTGAGGTCTGAGGTCCAAAAAGGACTGGCAGACGACCTGTACTAAAGCTGAATTGATGCACTACTGACCTTGGGTTCCTCATGCTTCTCTCAGCCATAGATGGGAAGGAAGCTGATGAGGGGAAAGTACCTTGGCTATAAAAGTTCACTTTTTATCATTCCTGGAACAATGCTATACACTAAAATAAATATTTAACAAAACGCATACTAACATTTCTCTGTTTCAGTACACAATTACATCATAATGTCTCAAGAGTGTTCTAAATAACATCTTATATTTAGGCCAATATTCTGTTTATTCCAGTTAAGACTATTATCTCTACACATGATCCAAAAATAAAGTCTTTGTTGGATGCTGTTGAGTTAAATTATTAATAAACTCAAG